CAGTAGATGCTTCCACAGAGGGTTTCAAAGAGGTTGCATCAATTGACACTCTCACCTGCCGCGTATGAGAGTTCCAGTCGCTCCACATTCTCACCAACACCTGGCATTGTCATTTTTAAATATTTTATCCACTCTGGTGGGTGCATAATGGTATCTCATTGTGGTCTTAGTTTGCATATCCCTGACGACTAATAATACTGACCACTTTTCATATGCTTATCAGCCATTCGCATCTCCTCTTTTGTGAAATGCCTTTCAAGTTTTGCCCAGTTTTCTAGTAGATTGCCATTTTCTTATTGATTGGTAGTTCTTTATACATTCTGGATAGAAATCCTTTGTCCCATATATGTATTGCAAATATCTTTTCCCACTCGGCGACTTACATTTTAACTTTGTTAATGGTGTCTTAGCAGATCTTAATTTTAATGTAACCCCATTCATTAGTCTTTCCCTTTATGGAAAAGTGTTTTTAGACTCCTATTTAAGAAATCCCTCAAGATCAGAAATACTCTCTTGGTTTATCTTTTAGAAGAGGTGTTGCTTAATCTTTCACATTTGGGTCTATGATCTACTCGGAATTGGTCTGCATATATGGTGTAAGGTGTCAAGGTTCTTTTTCTCCATTTGGATATCCAGTTGAGACAGCACCATCTACTTAAAAATGCTGTAGTTGACTAACACGTGTGGTTGTTGTTCACCAGGTGACTATAAATGCATGCCTCTACTTCTGGACTTTCTACTTTTTTCCATTTGTCTATTTATCTATCCTTGCACCCAAACCACACTGTTTTAATTACTGTAGGTTGTGGTGAGCTTTAACATAAACAGCTTTACTTTAGCCAATGCCACACATCTTCACCAACATTTGCAGAACTCAACCTTTTTAATTTTAGCTCTTCTAGAGAGTGGTCTTTTGTTGTGGTTTTAGTTTCCATTTTCCTGCTGAGAAATTATGTTAAGCACTTTTTATGTGCTTATTGGGCATTCATATATCTTCTTTTGGGAAGTGTCCATTCAGGTTTTTGCCCATTTTTTCTTGGGTTCTCTTTTTATTAATGGATTTGTAGGATTTGCTTGTATATTCTGCGTACAAGTCCTTTTGCCAGATGTGTATATTGTGAATATTATCTCCCAGTCTGTAGCTTGTTTTTCATTTTTTTGCTTTCATTTACGTTGACTTAATGAGCAGTTTTTACTGTTGCTGGAATGCAAATTATCAATTTTCTATTATATGTAATGCTTTTTGCTGTTCTCTGTAATTAAATTTTGTCTCCTGCAAGCTTACAAAGATACTCTCTTATGTTTTCTTTTAGAAGCTTTATGATTATAGCTTTTATGTTTAGGTTTATGATCCATTTTTATCCCTGCTTTGGGGTTAATTTGCTCTTCTTTTTCTAGCTTCTTAAGGTAGAAACTCAGAATATTTATTTTTAAATCTTTCATTTAAAACTGCAGACTTCCTTCTAAGGACTACTTTAGCTGAATCTTACAATTTTTGATGCATTCGTTTTTTATTATCATTGAGTTTAAAATAGCTCCTAATTTCTCTTTTGATTTCTCCTTTGGACCATGGATTATTTAGAAGAGTGTTGTTTAATTATCAAGCATATAGGGCTTTTCTAGACGACTCATTTTTTTTTATTTCTAATTCAACTCTTTTCTGGTCAAACAACATATTCTGTAAGATTTTTGTGTTTTCCCTTTAGTCTGTCCGTTTTTGCTTCATTGCATTTTGAAAGTCCATTATTAGGCGAATAATCACGTAGGATTGGTATGTCTTTCCAATGAAATCTCCCTTTCATCATTATGAAATGTCCTTATTTACCCCTGGTAACATTCCTTGTCTTAAAGCCTATATGGTTTGATATTAACATAACCACACAAATTTTATAATGATTGCTAGGATGTGGTATATGATTTTCTATTCTTACTGCCAACCTATTTGTGTCTTTATATTAAAATGTGTGGCTTGTAGCAGCACATGGTTGAGTCTTGTTGTTTTGACCCTACTGGATAACCTCTGGCCTTTAATTAGAAGATTTCGTTCATTTACATTTAGTGTAATTATTGATACGGTTGGGTGTGTCTATCATCTTCCTATTTTCTATTTATTCTTCTTCCTCTTTGTTACTCCTTTCCTGACTTCTTTTAGGCTAACTGAATAACTTTATATTCCATTTTGTTGCCTTTATTCATTTTTTAGCTATGCCTTTTTATACTGCTCTAGAGATTATAATATACACTGTTAAGTTTCCAGACCTAGGATTAATATTTTACCACTTCAGGTAAAAGGTAAATACATTAAGACAGCATAATTCCATTTAACCTCCTTCTTGGTGCTATGAATGTTATATATTTCACTTCCACCTAGGTTACAAACTCCCAAATACGAAATAATTATTTGTGCTTTAAACAGTTACCTGTTAAAAACATTAAGAAAATAAAAGTTAGTTTTACTTTTAGCCATGCATTTACCCTTTCTGGTGCCTTCCATGCCCTCATGGACATCAGTTTCCCCCTTTGCATCATTTCCTTTCAAATTAAAGTACTTCCTTCAGCATATCTGGTCATGCAGTTCTGCTGAAGACAGATTTTCTCAACTCTTCTTTCTGTCTGAAATAGTCTTTATTTCACTCTCATATTTGAAGGCTATCTTAGCTGAATACAGAATTCTGCATTAACAGTTTTTTTCCCCAGCACCTTAAAGGCGGTCATTCCACTGTCTTCTAGCCTCTGTTGTTTCTGATGAGAAGACTGTCAGTCTATATTCAAAGTTCCCCACTTGCCTCCAAAATGGCTTCTTATCACTCGTTAGTTCAAATCAAGATCCAAAAAGGATCCTCACATTGCGTTTGGTAATTATGGTTGTTTAGTCCCTTTTAATCTGAACAGCTCTTGCTCCCTGACACCTTGTGTGTGCGTCTATGCACATGTGTGTGTGATTGATTTTTGAAGGACTGGGTCAGTTGTCCTAAGGAATGTCCCTCATCCTAAATTTGTCTGATTTTTTCCCTCATGGTAGGTACTTCTCCCTCTAAACTTAACTTGTGCCAATATCCTCTAAACTTCCTGTAAACTAGACACTGATCTGCAAGACTGATTAGATTCCAGTTTGTCGATTTTGTATTTTATATTGTTTGACATGAAATGTAGTGAACGACAGCTCTCCATCTACCTCATAGGGTTGTCAGGGGAGCAAAGGATCACAAAGCATTCCTCAGCACCTGGCTTACAGCAAGGACACCTAAACGCTAGCTAGTGTCATTATCATCACCCAGTTATGCCAGAGATGACAAATTGGCAGTCCGATCTTGTTTTTCAGTTTTAAATTAATTCTCAACACTTAAAAATCTGGAAATTTTATATAAGATTCTAGATCCCTGGCTTCTCTGGCAGCCCTGGGTCCCTCTTTCTGCATGGTCTCAACCAGCTGCAGGGAGCTGCCAATGATTCCCGCAGGGGGATCCACTCGCTCCAGTTCAGTCTTTGTCCTCTCAGGTCACATGGGTTTGTACCTCCTGCTCTAGGCTCACTTTGTGTCTTGTCTGAAGAGCAGGGACTTTTCTGAGGTCCTCTTCCTGTAGCTTCAGATCTTTAGAGAGGCTGTGACTGCCACTGCTGAGAGGAGTCCATATCAACTCAACCAGTATTCTCTGAGTCCTTTACCCAATCAACTAAGGCAACAAAGGCCATTCTCAACAACCATTCTGTCACATCCCAGGGCTCTCCAAAGGGTTCCATGGTTACTATCAAGGACCAGGTGAACCAACACCTGGGAAGAAATTTTGACCCCATCAGTGAAGAATTTAGTCTCTGTGGTGAGAAATGGACAAAGCTACTGGTTGGCCAACGGTGGGGAAGTAGGAAGGACTTGCCATGGTTCACACAATTCATACTTGTCTATAAGGCAAAACCAAGACGCCAGTGTACACTCATTTCCCTACCAACATTGTTTCTCAAGAGGAAGGGCCACATATCAAAACTCAAACATTTGTGGACGAAAAAGTCCATCCCCAGAGTAGGCAAGAGGTACTACTTGGGCAATAACTCAAGCCTGATAATATTAATTAGTATTGAAGAAAAGTCATAGTGAATTAGTGTCAAGCTTAGCTGACTTGATCCAACAGGTCATGAGATTTGAAAGAGGAGATATTTTAAAATATGAGGACATTATCTCTATTTCTGAGAAAATAAACCGCTAACAGACAGTAGACTCATACGTTGGAAAAACATTTTTTGAGCACTTATTGTGAGCTCTATTAGAACAGGCACTGTTCTAGGCGCTTGGGACGTATCAGCAAACAAACCAACCTAAAATCCCTGCCTTGGCATAGCTCACACTCTAGGGAGTAAAATCTAGGAGCTGTCCCATTACGGAAATTAACTCTGTGCAGACGCTCAACGCTGATCCTGATGTTCTGAAAATACTGCATTGGAATTAACCACAAGAATCATATTAAATCCCATTGTTTATGGAATTCCACACCAGGCAGACACAATAACGGACTCTAGTGACTCAGGGGGGCTCAGGACACACCGAATCCCTTAGTCACACAGGGGAGACACATTACCCTAAGATTAAACAGGAGATGTTGCCACAGAGACACAGGGAACTCCAGGAGCTCATTCCAGGCAGACCACATCCGGTCCAGGAAGGAGGTGGGCATGAAAGTCAGAGACGCGCTGGGATAGAGTCGTATGTAGGCTGCTTGTAACTCTCACTTGGCACAAGGGGATGAGCAAGCGAACTCACACGGACACATTTGTGCCTGAGGTCAGGATTCCTGCGGGACACACAAATAAGGCAATCACAGAATCGACCTGAAGCGGACAGGTACCTAGAGACTCTCCATCTCTCACAGCCGTAGCCACCACGTTTTTCTTGTCCACCATCCATTTTAACAAGTATGCTTCACTTTTCCTTCCAGGAGACCTCCCCCCCCCCCACTCCTGTCTCTACGGTTTGGGTGATGCTAACCACTCTGACACCTTCTTTCCAGGAAGGAAACACCTTCTTTCCAGGCCAGGCCACAGAGATGGAACTTTTGCTGAGACGCCTGGGCAAGAGACAGCCTCTGTCCACTGGGATGAAATGGGATCAAAGGCTCTCAGGAAGCCATTTTCCTCCCTCATGGAGTAAGCCACATGCACAGGAAGCCCTCACAATGGAAGCGTATCCAGGGGACGGAGAGATGCAGAATCCTAATGACAGCACTTGAACCCCTGGATCCAGCTATACCTGAACCCATGTAACACTTCTCATTAACATGAGCCAATAAATCCCCCATTATGCTTAAGCCCAGCTTGAACTGGGTTTCCACTACTATTTGGTAGAACCATGGTACCTATAAATGGTGCCCACCTTCTCCTCCCCACTTTCTTCTCCAAGCCCAGGGTCAGAGTATGTCTTGTAGTGACATTGGCACCCTCTCCACTCTAATGTCCAAAGGAGCTTCCCTTCCTCCCACTCTCTGCCCCTTTCTTGGTGGCAGTTGCTTCCAGCCCCTCTCCCTCCTGATCCCCCTGCCTCCTCTCCTTACCCGCTGACCAGGGGCTGGGTGGGCCTGAGGGGCTTGAATCTGGGCTTGGGCTGGCCTCCAGTGACATGAGGCTGTCATCCTGGACGCCATAATGGTTGTTCCCAAGGAGCCAGTACGTTTTCATCTTCCCTATGCCCTGAGAGGGGGGACCAAGGCCACACTGACCGACTCATTGACTGCCCATTCCGTCAGCTTCTGGGAGGAGAAGCATCGGACTGCTTCCTGGGGGCAAGACCACGTCTCCCACCCCCTGGGCTACCTCATGGATCAGAACAGGGCAGACGCTCAGGAAACATTCATGGAACCAATGAATGACCCACAGCGGCCTCTCAGAGGTCCTCACCAAGCACAGGAAGGGATGGCATGGATGATCCAGGGCCACAAATGATCCCAGAGTCTTCTAGATTCGTCTGGGTAACCTGTTACTATGTGTGCAGCCAACTGTCCATCCCAACTGTTCTTGTCTTGTGTTATTAATCCAACCTAGTTTTCTGGGCTGCCCTGACTGGGTTTTGTAGGCACATAGGCTGAGCCAACCAGGGTGATGACAAGAGAAGGAATCATGGCTGAGAAAGAGAAATGCAGCCCCCGACCTTCGGGAGCTGACTGGGCACTCACGGCTGGGCCCTGGTGCTCTCCTGTTGAACATAATGTCACGGAACATCAGTGTCAGACAAGGCCACTCTGTGACCACGTGGCTCAACACCAAAAAGATCCCCCGTAATCATGTCTGAACACAGACAAAGCAGGAATATTGTCCAAGCCGCAAATACAAACATCCCCTCTCCCAGCTCATGAGTGACTGCTATTTCTTCACCAGTTATAGCTTTGGCCTCGCTTCGGTCTCCCTCCCTACAGAGAAAACGTGTTGAGATACGGAATCATTGAATCGTCCCTGCTATCTGACAGCACCCAACCCAGAGCAAAGCCCCACTTCCTTAGACTTTCCCCCAAATCACCCAAGTTAAGCCTGAGTCCTCTAAGTCTTTTCTACACTCTCCTACTGAAACGCCCCTGTCCCCATGGGGTGCTTTCTCATCCTCTGCAGCGAGGAGGAAACCCAGCCTGTTCAACCCGGCTGTGCCCCTGGTGGTGCCGGCTGGAGGGCGTTGATAGAAATGGAGGTTCCACTGGGATCCCACGACGTACTCTGCAGGTTACAGAGGACTGTGGAACAGCAGAGCGAGGCGACAGCTTGACAACTCCCTTCTGAAAAAGAATTAGCTCCAACCCCTGGGGTAAGAAAACCAAGGAAGAAGTCAAAGTATGAGGGTGTACCCTTCAAATGACCCCCAAATGCTTCTAGAACCTTCCAGCAGAATTCTCTATCAAAGATGAGGACCCCACAGTCAACGTAGGTCTTGCTTTTTGCCCACAGCAAACCCTCACCTTGACCTTGATTTCCCCTTGAAATGCAATCTCACAGGCACCGTCTTTCGTGCAGGTGTGGCTTGTGGTTGAGCTGATGCTCCACGCCAAACACGGTTCATGAAAAAGACCACCTCAGCTGCAGTGCCAAGGAAGGCTTCCTGGAGGAGGAGGCATTGAGCTGAGCTTCAGGGGAAGGGTGGAATTTAAATATGAGAGAGGCACAGGAGGGGCATTATGAGAGGGGAGAGCAGAGGGAGCAGGCAGGACCTGGAGCAGGCTGGTTTGGGGAAGGGCACACGGTGCCACACATTCGCAGCTAAGAGGCCGGATGGAGGAGAAGGCTGGGGTTTGCCGGGTGCGCATGTGGAAGCCCCCGGGGGCAAAAGGGGTCTCAGGAGAGATTTTTCTGGCAGTAGCGGCAGCGCAGATCAGAATAGGCAGAGCAGGTGAGAAGGCAGATGGAGACTGCCTGCTTGTGTTTAAGTTCTGTCTCCCCGGAGAGGAAGACAGGGCCACGCGGCTTAGGGCGGGGGGGGAGAGCTGGGGGGCAAGCGAGTGGTGGGTGGGAGTGGGCAGGTCAAGCCAGAGAACGACCCCGGGAGCCGTGGGCACCCGGGCCGTGGACTGAGGGTCTGCTCTGCGTGAGACTCTGCTGGGAGCTTTGGACGACTTTTCTCGTCTAATCTCAACATCAGACCTGTGGATCGGGCATTTTTATCCCAGAAGAGCAGACTGCGGCTCAGAGGAGAAATAAACTTCCCGGGGGTCCATAGCACGTGACTTAAAGTGGTTCTTCCACCGCTGAAATCTAAGGACCGCAGGAGCAGCCGGAGGCGGGGAGGAGCGAGGCGCGGCGGCTGCGGGGCAGGTGCGGGGCAGGTGCGGACCCGCGGGAAGGAGGCAGGGCCGCGCGGCCCGAGCCGGGATGTGAGGCGGGCCGGCTGGGGTCCGAGCGAAGGGCCCCAGACCTCCGAGCACCTCGGGGAGTGTTGGCACCAATGTCTCTTACACTGTCAGGAAAGCCGCCTGCCAGCGTTCCCCACCTTGCGCCCCAGGCACTCGCCCTCCGCCCCACGGGTGTGGATGCCCGCCGTCAGCTCCAGCCTCTCGCGTGGCCTGTGGGACACGGCGGCCACCAGGTCCAGGTCCTGGTCCAGGTCCTGGTGATCTTGTCAGCATGTCTTTCCCGGGTTTGCTCAGGCACCCCGCTCACCGACGTGTACGCATCCCCGATGGTCTCCACCTGCGAGAGGACAGGGCAGGCAGGAGGTCCTGCTGAGGCTTTGGTCCCCAGCCCAGCCCGGGCCCCGGGCCCCGCCTTCAGCCCCGCCTCCGAACCGAGCTTCAGCCCCACCCAGTCCCCTAGCCCGGCCCCTGACCCGCGCTCAGGCTCAGGCCCCGCCCTCAGGCCCACAGGTTGTTGAGCGTCTGCACCAGCTGCAGCGGTGTGCAGGCGGCCCACGACGTCAGAGAAGATGGTCACGGGGGGGGGGTGGGGGGGGGGGGACGGGAGACAGGAGGCTGTACACGACCTCACAGGCCCAACCCCCTTCACAAATGGGGAGCCTGAGGCCCAACGAGGAGCAGGAAAGTTTGCCCTAGGCCGCCCTGCAAATTATAGGCAGGCCTGGGACTGGAAACTGTGGGTCCAGACTCCCATTCCAGTGCTCCACTGGATTGGGCTGCGGCTGGAGAGCCCAAGAGGAGCGACTTTGTCCATCGTGCCCCCCAGGGACTTAGGGACAGAAGAAGCAGAAGTGAAACCTTTTAGATTATTTTTAAGTTTTATGTGAATGTGGAGGAGTTTCAGCTTTGATTCACCTGTGCCATTCTCTACAGCAGGGATTCATGGGAAAGTCAGGATCCCACACGGGAGCCAGCAGGGGTTATGGGCCCGGGAATCTATCCACGGTGGTGGCTCTGGCCAGGTTATATCTTTTCATCTGCAAACCCCAAATGATAGCATTTATCACATTGAGATGTGACAATATAGGGAAAGGATATGTGTAAAGCCCTTGGCGCATGGGAGGGGCTCAGTAAATGGGAATCATTAGATTGTGAATGAGGCAGTATAGTGTTATGGTTAGGGGCATGGACTCTGGAGACAGACTCCTGGGTTCAAAACCAGGCTCTGCCACTTACCAGCTGTGGGCCGTCAGTGCTCTGTGCCTCAGTGTCCTCATTTGTAAAGTGAGGATGGTAGTGATAATGCCAAACTCCTAGGGTTGTTTAAAGGAGTTAAGACAACTTGACAGCTAACATTGATGTGGTAATTCCAGTATTAGCTCTTTTTTTTTTTTTTTTTTTGAGGAAGATTAGTCCTGAGCTAACATCTGCTGTCAATCCTCCTCTTTTTGCTGAGGAAGGCTGGCCCTGAGCTAATATCCATGCCCATCTTCCTCCACTTTATATGTGGGACGCCTACCACAGCATGGCTTTTGCCAAGCGGTGCCATGTCTGCACCCGGGATCCGGGCCGGCGAACCCGGGACCACCGAGAAGCAGATCGTGCAAACTTAACCGCTGCGCCACTGGGCCAGCCCCCCGGTATTAGATCTTATTCCCTCTTGAAGCATCTTCTGAGAAACGCAGAGGAATTCTCTTATTCATCGCTAAACCAAATATAAATAGGAAAGTAAATCTACTGTAGTCAGATGTGCCCTCGCCAGCAAAGGCGACATGATTTAAATTCCCCGAGGTTTTTGTTTTGCCCACTCTGACCAGTGGATGATGGAGAGTTAACCGGGTTAGTAGGTGGGAGTTGGAGGGGGGGCGGGGAATGGGGACGCAGAGGAGGTGAAGGAAACCGCCTTCTCCGGGATGCCCAGTCGGCTAAGCTCAAGTAGGAGAAGCGCAGCGGGGCGCCCGACCGAGCGCGAGAGCGGAGGAAGGAGCGCGCCCGCCAGCCCGGGGCGCCCACACCCGGCTGCGCAACGTTCAGGCCAGAGACTTGAGTTACGCCGGCGATTTAGGGGCCGCCTGGGGCGAGGGCTGCATCTAACTACCTGCAGCTGGCCTGTGGGAGGGCGGACTGAGGGGGTGTCCTGGTCCAGGTTCCGGCTCGGAGCGCTGTGGGGCGAAGGAAGCTCGGGAGAGCGTGGAAGCTGGTCGGGGATGCGCTTGGAAAGGGGACGTCTCTGGAGAGGACCGGGCGTTTGGTGGCTCAGGGACTCTGTCCTCTCACCTGCTCTGGCCTCGGCTTCCCCTTATGGTGCCCCTGCTGTCCCCTCGGCTCTTCCCTTCTTTCCCCGCCCCTCCCCTGCGGGCAGTGGAGCCCCTCGCTTCTGTCTAGGCTGGGCCAAGCGTGGTGGGGGAACCAGGTCCTCTCCTGCCCCGACTCCAGACCTAAAACCCTTCCCGGCTGTCGGCTGTCGGCTGGCCCGGGAAGCATGAGGATGT